ATCAACACTTTGTCGAAGGAGCTGACATGTTTTCCATAGCTGATGTATGTTTTTTCTTCTTCTTTCTTTTTTTCTGTATCTTCTGTTATTTTTTTAGTTCGGGCTTAGCTAATAAGTTTTCAGTTACGTGAGTTGTGTTTGGGAAATTTGCTTCGAGATTTGGAAGACATTCATACGGTTTTCCGGCGACATATCGAGGAAGTAAGCAGTGACTTTGTTTTTTTCTAGAACTAAGTAGTTTTTTGCCATTTCAGGAGTGCGAAATATGTGCAGGAAATGGATTCTATTGTGAAATGTGTGATGATCAGGATAAACGTGACGAGGTAAAGCTACCAGTTTTATTAACTTGAGATGTATCTTTTGAAAATGTTTCCCAGGTGATTTTTCCGTTCTCGGAAAATGTGGCAATGTGTCAGAAGTGTCTGGCTGTGTTCCATGCAAAATGTTTTGATAAAAGAAGCAGCAAGTGCCCAAGGTAAATTCTGGCTAGTGCTTTTTATCTATCTGTTCCTGCATTAACAGTAAAATCTTGGACTTCAGATGTGAGAGACGTCAGAGACGGAATTCGCAGCGATTTACTGATGATGAGTAAATTCACAAAGTGGAAGTCTGTTTTTTTTTTTGCTTTTCACTTTTTATAGCTATTATGGACTCATGCTACCTTTATTTATATGCTTGGAATGCTGCTTCACATAATTCCAATTCCATTCTTGATAATTCTGTCTTTTTGCAATATGAAAATAGTCAGAGCAGATCTACTCTGAAAGTGCTCACTTAATTTTCATGATTGTGCTATAAGTTATCGTATTGTCCATCCAAATTCAACATATTCATCGGGTCGTTGTTTTGTACCATGTGACTTCCTTTCCATTATCAGCTATCTGTAAATACGCGTGAAATGCCAAATCAAATGCGAAGTTTTATTGATGCAGTTGTGTCTGATAGTTGCCTTACAATGAATGTTTTATCAAATTGTTCATCTGGGATATGATTTGAGCCACACAGAGATGGGTGGTGGAAGACAGTGCCCCCTTTCGACGGGTCGCGAAAATCTTGAAAGTTGGCTGGTTCTTCTATTTGTTAAAGTGACGGTAATTTGAGGGTTAACATGTTGCCATTGTGATATCGAATCTATTTGCGCGCAGAAATTGCCATGCTAATGTAAGAACTATTGGCATAGACTAGAAGTTCCTCGCTTTTTGTGGCCAGTCTTTACGCGCAGGGTTGTCAGTACCGCAGAGGTTGTATATTGAAATCAGATTGACACATATGGTGTGTCAAGGCTTGAATTTCTTTAGAACAACGACAAGCTCGGGATAGACCATTCCAGCATTTGCCTTCTTTGCTGTGTTTTAGAGGTAAGCTCCATCTTTTTTGTCAGCCTTTTAGAGGTACTGTAGATATAGTGTAGGTAGCAGAATACCTCAAGTTATCTAGGAAACACTGGCTTTTCCGCAAATCGCTTTGGTCTCAAATGGCAGACAATCAAAAATTCGCATGGTCGTCAATGTATTAATAAACCTTTGTAAGCGATGGAGGTACCAACTGAGGTTATATGCGGACATCTGCAGATGAAAGAGGAAATTATGGTAATTTGCTCCAAACTCCAAGTGCCTAAATCAATGCAGTTGCAATGCGCTACAAAATCGCTTTCTAAATTAGTAGTCAATCATCGATCTACATTATTTCAGGAGAATGCTTTTTTGAAGCTTTATAGGCCCGTTCCACCCAAATTGAAGATGATGAGATTCTAATGTTACTCAATAGCGGGAGTCCCAATTAAGCAATCCCCCAAGTCTCGCTGCAGAAGATGTATTCCAAAGCGAAGAAGGCACTCCAGAAAGTAGAAGCGGTCGCGCTAGCTCCGCCCGCCAACCTGATCATCCAAAGGTGAAAGCCAAAACTTGGGTTTCAGGGAAGATAGAAAGGTCGCGAATTTGATGATCAAAATGAAAGGCAGAACATGACAATTCTGGGTACATTGAAGCCCAAGTTTGGACTTTTGTTTTCAGACCACCCAGGTTGATGGGCGGAGCGAGCGTGGTCGCTTCTTCTTTCTTGAGCGGCTTCATCGCTTTGGAATTCATTTTTTGCAGCGAGACTTGGGCGATGGCTTAGTCGGGGGCCCCGCTATCATACAACATCAA